GTTTTGTGGCAGTACTCCATACTGTACTTCAGTTTTGTGGCAGACTAAATTATGGTCTGAATTGAGGTCCTAACTAATTCTGCAGATCAAAAAAGAAAGGGTAACAGGTGTCCCCAAGCAATAGTAAGCCTTAGCTCTCAGTGCATTGTTGTGTTGGCCCTGTCATTGGCTCCATATCACACTAGAGCCCTGCCAGCTTGCAGACCAAAGCCTACCACTGTTTTTCAGACTGAATGGTAGTATCCTTTTCAGACTTGTCAAGGCAATCTAGAGTTTTTTTCAGCAAATCACAACTGGGTTATTAAAAGCCTAGAGTGGTCCGGCGAGCCAGATAGGCGGGGTATGAATCAAATAAATAAATAAATAAATAAATTCTAACAAATTGTAACAGAAAGAAAAAAAATCTTCCCAGTTTCCTGGAAGCTGGGGGAAGCGGCAGCACCCTTGAACCACAGAATAAATAAATAAAAGATCTGGGAACCCAAGCAGTTCCACTTTCTTCTAATAAGAAAACAAGATGGTGGTTCAATCTCAGGGGCCCAAGAAGCTCTCTACATCTCTTACCATTAAGAATACTGCTATCATAATGATTTCTTCAGGGCACCATTGACGTAAAGTGCTATTCTACTATTGCATAGGTTCATCTCTCATGTGTGTGCCCTAAACATTCAATCAGCTGGGAAGACATAAGTCAGTTAAATGAATGCCTCGAGCAGCTATATTGATGGCTGAAATCAGCACTAGTGAACCTTCATAGAGTCATTCATCAATCACTGAAAAAGTGGCCATCAGACTCAGTTTTCTAATATTCTATAACACAAAATTCTAACTGCATCTTTGGAACAGACTTACATGGTCTGCCACCCCGTTAGGGCATAGGAAAGGGGATTTTTAACTTCAGATTTAAAAGGCCTTCAAGCATTTCAATCCATATTTTTCAGTATGCTACTTTATATAAGCAGTTACTTATATAAACATATTTTTTTAAAAAATTAACATCAGAAATATCCTTTTTCAATACCTTTCTATCAGAATATCTGCCTTATAAGAACTTAGACCTGGCTTCTGAAAACAGTGGTTTTCCTTAAAGCCTTTTAAAATCCCATTGTCCTCTATTCTGACAGTAAAGTGACATCACTTTAAAAAAAACAGCAGCTAGGTATATTTTAAAATAAAATAGTTGTAATATAAAAAAAGAATCTCATGGGTTAAAATACTTCAAAGTAACATGTCAGAAAAGGCAGAGACAGGTTGGCTACTATTTGATGATATATTTCTGGCTGTGGTTTTTAACAACTCACTTGTTAACAGATCATATTTAAAGAAATAATTGAACCATTGAAATGTACATTCCATCTCTGAATATGAAATGCAGAATGTTTGCAGATTGTGTGATTAGTAACATTTCCCTTTGTAATTTTCTCCATGGAAGTGGTTTGACCAGATATGAATGATAAGAAGGGAAGCAGTTGACTGTGGTCTGCAACAAAATGGAAAAGATCAATGTGACAAAGCTAGATAAGAATGTTGTGTATGTTGTTGTTTGTAGCTGGGAGTGAAGGTTCACTCGCTTTCAGAATAGTCTTTGAAAAGGTAATTTCTTTCTATTATTAACATAGAATTTGTTGTATTCCATCTCTCTTCTAAGGGTGAGACACTTTGTCTAATACAAATAAGGTTCAGAGAGCATATGAGCAACCAATGTTTCTCATCTCTGGGAAGACCACACTGGTTTACTGATTATCGCTCCACATCCTCTGGAGACCTACTAAATGTAGCACATTGCCCTTCTGCATTGTCATGCTACATTTTGCTTTGATGGAAGCATGCGTAAAATGAAAGTCACAGTATTGATTCCTATAAAATGTTAATAATTTCCATGTGCATCATCTTTGGAATGGTGGTTACTCTCTGGCACAACACTTGATGGACAGAAGATGACCAAACCTTGCATGATATCCTTTTATCTCTGAAACTGTGGATTCAGAGCTGAGCTAGGTTATCAGTGAGAACAGCTCTCTTGCTTAATGGACTTTTGTAGATGTCACTCACCACGATGCTATGGGGCAGTTGATTGATCTGCTCACAAGAAGTAAACAACAGGCAAAATTAGCACACAGTAAAAAAAATATCATACTTAACTTAAAGCTAAGGAAATTAAAATGAGTTGCTGCTGAATGGATCAATCTGGGTGGCAGTATTGTAGCCAGTGTCTTACACTTCTTTTTAAAGAGATGGATGCCAAAATCCTGTTGCATAAGATATCCCTATGTAGGGAAGTTCCTCACTGCATGTAAATTGGGTGGTGGCAGTCATTAATTAAAAGTCCCATGTTGGATTCCTGGTCAAACACAAAGTCACCCAGCTTGCAAGCAATAAGAAACCCCATGAGGAATCACAGTGGGGATTCTAATAAACTATTATCTGCCTCTCTGGTAATGTCATTTTTCTTACGCTTGGCACTGTGGACCATAGTCTTCTGGTCCACAGTGCCAAATAAAACATGTTAATCTTTAAAGAGCCTATGGTATCCTTGTTGCTTTTGTTACAAAAGACTAATATTTTGCTTTATCTGGGTATTTGCATATATCTCGACAGTTGTGAAGTGTGTCTCAGAGAATATAAATCTGTTGCTTCAAAGTCAAGTGAGCTGGGTTGAAATAATCTTTGTCAGAGACTTGTGATGTTTGATGAAATAATCAATGCTAAATAATCCACATTATGACACTACCCAATGGCCATTAGCTACCAGTACCAAAGACTAGGAATCAAACTAGATGATAAATTTAGCAAGTTTTAGAAGAGATGGTCCCTCAAATGGCAAATGTGCTGCATAGTTTTCCTCTTCTGCAACTCATGCATTTAACATGCATATTTTTCTGATTTGTTCTTGAACGTAAGCACAGATTTAGTCAGAAAATCTAATGGATGGAGCAGATATCCCTAAGAAAACCCCATTGTTGCAGGGAAAAATTATTAATATTAGATATGAGGGTATTCGTATACAAATACCCACGAACTGGTGGACATAACAAAGGTCCAGCCCCATGGGGCCGGATGCTCCACCCACCGATCCGCCATGGGTGCGGGTGCTGTTGAGCCTTCCAATGGCTCTGGAGACCACGTTTGACGAACTCCTCTTTGACCTAGCAGAGAGGCTTGTTGTCGTCCCACCTCCTACCATGAGTGGCGAGCCGAATGCGATCTCTGGAGCCATTGGAAGGCTCCGCAGCGCCTGCGCACATGACGGATCAGTGAGTAGACCATCCGGCCACATGGGGGTGGACCTTCATTATGTCCCCCTGTGCAGCAGTATTAGTGTATGAATACCCTGTCTGTAATTAATATTAAACATAAAGAAGACCAGGGTCCCATTTTGCTGAAAGTGAAGAAATCTTCCTGGTTTAAAGGGAAAGTTTCAGTAGACAGTCTTAGCATGGCAGAACTTGGAAAATAACTGAGAATGAGAAACATGTGGCACCACATTTGTAAGGACCTGTCACATTCCTAGCCTACACATGATAAGAACACAAAGTATTTACAGGAGCCAAGAAATAACTGCGAACTGCTTATAGCTACCAGAAAAATCTTTTTTTCTATTGTAGTTGTGACAGATTTTAAAGAAGACGTTTCTTTGTGTCTGAAAGCAGCAGTTGAAACTGGAATGGCACTGCAATGAAACAAATGTAGGCACACCTTTCCACCCTATTTCTTGCAGGCGGGTAGTCTCATATGAAACTTCTAATATCTGATTCATCTCAGCTCCTCTATTACGCCTACATAACTCTCTAGCCAACAGGAGAGACTGCCCAAATACACTGCCTGTTTTTCAGTCAGAATAAGTACGTGAATCATTACCTTTTGAAGTGAGTTCTCTTTAAGGTTTGGGGAATGAAATCCTGTTAAGTCAAGAAAAAAATACCGTAGGATTTTAAAAAGTGAATCCTTACATGTCTTCAGCACAATTCCCCCTCATTTCATTGGGGCTTTCACAGGAGAAACCCCCAGTGGGTTGTGTCCTTGTTAATAGCATTTGAATTAATGTTCTTCACCACTATCGCATACATGTAATAGCTGTCTTACTCCTGAATTATTTTATGCATTTGCTAACAGGAGACAGATGTCTTTCTTTCTTTCTTTCTTTCTTTCTTTCTTTCTTTCTTTCTTTCTTTCTTTCTTTCTTTCTTTCTTTCTTTCTT